TCACTGAAGTAAAAGGGCAAGAAACTACAGAGAAAACCACCCCTTTAAAATTTATCACGTAATTAACAAAACCAAAATGAAGCCTGAAATCTATTTCACCATTCTATGTATTCAATCAGTTTATAGACAAAATTTTCAACCAGCAGTTTATCAACTTGGGTACGTACCTGCATCACCTAAGACAACAGTTTAAAGACGTTAACCCTCTGCAGATCTATCTCAAGTGAAGGTGAGATTCAGGTACTAAAAACAAGCCTTTGATGAGCTCTCAAAAATACAGCATCCAAAATACTGGCCACTTAGGAATATCCTGGCTAATGTGCATAAAATAGTATTAAATATGCTGGATTCTTAATTGCTAATACTTCCTTGTTAAATTCTTTTATTCTATTCCTTGTCTGACCTTTTCCCAAATTAGTAGAGTGTGTTTTATTAGTGCTCCATTGAGCTAGACATTGCTATGCATTTTAACCATGACATTTTAAACTACAAGCCCCACAGCTACCAGTGAAGTCCACATCAACAGAACCTTGTACTCCCGCAGAGCTTAAGGTAGGAGGAGGAACAACAATAACACTGAGTAAATGAGCTAGTATTTTCAGACAGGCCTAAGAAAATTCAGTAGCAAAATCCCAGTCATCTTAAATGGCACCTGACTTCCTTAAGTCCCTTTGGACTCATTTATAGGATGAGCAAGTTCATACCAACTAAAGAAAGCATTTCTGCAATTATTTGTGTTTGGGTAGCAATTTGAGGCTGCTGTCAGGCCTGCCCTCTGATTAAACTAACAAATACATAAATAAAGCATGCACATCTAAACGAAGCAGATGTTTAAATCCTCTCACAAAGTTTTAAACTGCTGTAATGGCCTTCCCACAAGTAGTCCTTTACCTGAGGAGATAACAACTTAGTTGGAAAACACCTGTCAAAAAGAAGTAACTCAGGACAGGAAAAAGAAAGTGAGATGCAGAACTGAATCTAAGGAGGCTAACAGTACTAACAGAGGCAAGTAATTAAAAATATGCAAGCTCATGAAAAAATACACCATCTTCACCAAACAAGTTCATTCAGCGTTTTGACTATCTGAATCAATCTACAAACATTAATTACTACCTGATTTAGATTTAGTGCCATATTTAGTAGAAATAACAAGTGTCATAGTGGACACAGCATTGCTTTTTGTTTTATATTTTAGGAGAGCTGGTATGGAACCCTATGGCCAGCCAGAATCCATTACAGAAGATAAGGCCCAGGTTTAGACTGTGGACTGTAAAGTTTATTTCTTATTTGAACTGGACTGTAAACATACAATTAAAGATATCTCAGTTGAAATGCTTAACTTAATCTTTGGTTTCTTTTCAGTTTCTATACTTCACATATACCCACAGAGTTCTGATCAATAGCCCTGTAGTGAACAGAAAAAAAAGAGACTTATTTTACACGTATAAATCTTGTGGATACAGCAGTAATTTCTACAAAAAGATAGTCAACTGCACTAACATGACGTGTTTCATATGCTGTTAAAATTGTTATGTTAAGAAGAAAAAAAAATTACTGCCTTGTCCTAGCGAGGACTGCCCCTCCTGCCCCCAATCTCTCCCAAGACAGATGCACTAGATTTTGGTCCCCTTCAAACCAAGAAAGAAAGGATGGCAGAAGACTTTAAATGCAGTGAGACTTGCTACTTTGGGAGCTATCCCAAAGCAAGAGTTTTGCAAAATCTAGCCAGGTTTTCATCAGGTCTATGATGCATTTTTGTGCTTGCCGCTTACCTTTTATTTTCGCTTTATCAAATAAGTGTACAGTAACTATCCACTGTCCGGAAGAGAACTGACCATTTCTCCTTCATTGACTCAACGGAAGATGTAAAAAATCCAACTCTTTTAGTTCAAGGAATTAATCTTCACCCAGTATAGCTGTCTAGACTAATCATGCTCATTATGACTGTAGTGCAGTGTATAAATCTTATTAGGCACTCTGAAAAGAACACTATCAATTTCTAGCATTGCCCTAAAATCTGTACTCAGTGTAATTATGAAATTCTTCAAACTCCTAGATTTTATTTATTTATTTATGTGTATTTAAATGGGCTCATATTGTAGTTTTTGGGTGTCCAATCACATTGTATTTATTTGTGCAGAAATTATACACTCACTTGCCAATATAGTAAAAGGGTGGAATGCTTCACAATGGTCCTAGCAATAACTCAGAAAAAGGACCACTGCTTCCAACGCAAATCCGCTCAAGAAAAGCTTCTACACACAAAGTAAGATGAACCAGTTACTGCATTGTTTATTAAGTTTCACTTGATTCCTCCTGACAACCATTTAAACAATGAATGTTGGGAAATGTCTCTCAAAGAATCAACAACAATGGCTGGGATCAGAGCTTTTATATTTAGCTAATACTGTTTTTAGAAAGGAGAAAATATTTCTTCCTGAAGGGATTATAGAAAGTCTTATAAAAGACACCTGCAAACAAAACAAGTGACAAAAGGTCTCTATCATAATTGATAACAGTTATCCTTTGTAAAAAATCTGTGCTTCTTCAGAAATAAATATCATACCTTTACTATTGAATTTCAAAAGGCATCCACTAACCAACAAGTTTGCTGATCAATAATACTAAGTTTAGAAAACCTGCAAAGAAGGAAGTGCTTTTGTCTTATGGACAGCAGTACATTATTATTAATCATCAGTAAAGTTCCTAAGTTTTCTTTCCTGATGCGAAATAGAACAGGCAAGCTTTGAAACATAGCATCTTTTTAACAGCACGCTGGACATGTAACGCCTACCTTATTTTTTTTTGAAAAGGAAAACTTTTCACTTAAACTTCAGAATTTAACAAATTATTCAATAGCCAATATAAAAGAAATGCACAAAGTAATCAACATGAGGGGATACATTCACAAAATGCAGTTTCCAGTAGGAGCTTGAAATAAGAAAGCAATCACGTCTACAGCAACAGCCTTCATTCTTTCATCCCAGACCAGTTAAGTCTTGGTAAGCACATACTCCCTAAAGTACCTACACACTAGTGACTAGTTTTTCTAATTCTCTAGTAGATTATTCTGTCCTCTGTCTGTGCCGTGCATACAGGTTAGCTCCTTCCTTAGCTTTCTTTTGGAGCAAACCAGTTGGTTTCCCCAGAAAAAAAAAAAAGAAGGTGTAATTCTCAAGGCAGTTTGCTTCAGGGTCTGCACCCAAAAGGAAGTATGGGCAAGACCACACCAATTTTGTCTCCCTCTGCTTACACAGACTTCTCTAACATTTTCCCAGCAAGTTTTGCATCCTCAGACAACCCCACATGCCTTTAAACCACATGCTGGGGCATGCAAAACGCCCACTCAGCTTCTTGCTGTAAAAACACCATGCAAGTGGGCTGCAACAAAACTCTCACATAACTGTAAATGCACGGAACTAAGGAAAAGGGATAATGGTTTTATCTCAAGACCACAGGACACAGAGGACGCTCTGGCCATGACAGTATATGTAACATGAACATACACAGTGCAGTCGGCTGTAAAGGGGACAAACCTACGAAAATACAAACTCCGCACTGCTTGGTCTAATGGCGAAGGAGCACTATGTAAAAGATGGTTTTGATTTGTGGATGTAAATCCTATGCTAAAAGAAGAGGATGAGGATCGTAGGACAGCCTGAGCTTCCAGCCAAAAAGAAAGGCACACATGTACTGTCCCAAGAGAGCTGAAATAAAGTAATATATATTGTGTCTAATAGGACAGCTAATGAGACTGAAGAAAATTTGGAATCTGTACAAACAGTAGAAAATAAGTATTATATTATAGAAAGATGTTTATATTGCACTTCCAGGAAATAATTTGTCAGGGCCTTAAAAGCCCATGAATTCAACATCTTAATATGCACTATAAGCAACATTACTCACATAAAACCGCAATTGCTTTAATTGACAGGTAAAATACATCACTCTCCTTTCTTTCCCAAAATGGCATGTGGCACTGCGATGCTTTGAAAAACAAACACATAATCTCTAACAACTTCATTAAACTAGGAAAAAGACTTTAAGAAGTGTTTTTGCTAACTCCTTGGAACATTTTTTTCTCCCCTATTTCAAGAGTTCAGCATTAATGACACGATTAAACTGCTCAACCCAAAATGTCTTTGGTTTATTTTTAAAGAAGTCAAAAAAACGTTTAGGTCCTGAATAAGTTATCTCCAAGAGACAAAGCTAAGTTAGCAATAGCACCTTAAGAAGCATTTCTGACCTAAGCATGACAGGCCTCATCCACTAAGTCATTTCTTTCTCTAGCCTCCATGATTCTGTGTACTCTGTTATTCAAGTTATTTTCATACAGTATGATAATTTTTCTTGCAGCTTTATCCTTCTCCAATTTTTTACAAGGAGGATTAATAGCAACTGCAACAGAAAAAATACCTTGATGTCATATATATGCCTTTATCCTTTCATCATCATCAAAATCTCAGTGCTTTGTCCATCTTTCTTGTCTGCAGCAACTTATTTCTCTTGTTCCTATTAAGGCTATTATATTCACTCTATTACTACTAATCTTTTCTTTGTAAATAGCCACACCTACCTTAATCCAAAATGGTGTGGTAAGCATTTGATTCTTTGTGGAAGTAGACACGTAATTAGGTTAATCTGTGCTATCTTTTCATGCGAGTTGATTGTTTCTTTACTATGGACATATTTCTTATAACAGCAATAAGCTTGCCAGATTGCTTGAAGGCAAATCAGCAGCAATTTACCAAGCATGTAGCTACTATGAACTGAAATCTTGACATAATAGCAAGCTGTGTATAGCCACTCCCACCTGCCAGTTATTACTCATGTTAGCTTTTTACTGACACATTAAATTTCAACCGCACCTTTCTTTCACAAACAAGTACTTTCATTCAACTCGGCTACATCTGTGACAAATAGCTGATCTTCACCAAAGCATACAGGAATCTAAATTCAGAATGCAGTGCTGAATTCTTTGACAGTAGCAACTGAATTACCTGCACGAAGTCCAAAAATGTCAATGGAAGCAAGTCATCCAGATGGCCAATATCTTTGGAGAAACGATTTAAGATTCTTCCTACAGAAACAGGGTTGGAGAAGAAGAAGAAAAATAAAGTAAATATAATCCATAAAAAGATCAAAGTATCTTAAACACACCATGTTTTACCATTTTAGTAACAGTTAAAAGGAAACAGTTGGAATCTAAAAATAAAAAGACACGTTTTGAAACCACCATGAAGGGAATCTTTTCCATCCACTGCAATATATTTTGAAGAATACTTTTTTGCAAATGCCTTTCAGAGGAATATAAAACCTTTACTTAAACTGCTAGGAAAAAAACAAAATGGGATTTGAAGATAATAGTTCAATAGTATTTAACAGGTGAGACACACATGCTTTGTATGCTCAACATATGCAGGTAAAGGTTTACAGTTCAGACAACTTAATACAAGTTTCATCAAGTAACATCAGCCAGAATCTGCTCCTATCCTTGACTGAAATTCGCTAGTGCATGCATGTTGCAGATAGATCATAGTTGATCTAAATGATCCTTTTTAGTATTTCTGTTCCCACCCCTCCACCATTATACATGGATTCAAATTGCAGGCATTTCTGAAATAAAACTTGAGATAGATTTGCTTTCATGCAGTCGTGCATTTATACTTATTCAAAACCTTGACAATACTGATCTTTATTAAAGCTAACAAAACAATTTTTAATCTGCTGTCAGTGAAGCATTTACAGTTCTCTATTTTCCCAAGTTCTACCTGAGTGAAAATATCAGTTATAGAAAGAGTTCTTTAATAATTAAAGTCACAATGCTGCCGCCCATAAGTGGATTAGTATCTTTCTGTTAATCGATATCTCTGCTTGCCAGAGAAGAAACTAAGCTAAGGATGGGAATCTGGCCTTTTCTACAGTGTGTAGTGCCTGTACATGCATTCACATTGCTTTTTTATCTACGTGTATCTTGATTCAATTATTATTTCTAACTGGTACAAACACATTCACTGCATTGGCAACAAAAGACCTTTTTTTTTTCCTTTTTCAAAGGAGCTCATTAAACTGAAAGTAGTTCGGTTTAAAGTCTCCATGGAGTATGTTTGAGACGTAATTCAGAGATAAGAGATACTGAAGTAACTTCTGTAGCAACCATCATTCTAGTTTTCTGTTCATAGCTGCCTTGGAATTACTAATTTTGTTGCATAACATTGATTTCTTTTTTTAAGGGAATTTCTGTTCCACACCAAGCAATATGCAAAAATCCTCTCCTCAGGCCTGGGACACAACTCCAAGGAGAGAGACTGGTGGCAAACCAGCTTGTTCTGCAGCACTTTGCTACCAAAGACAGTTACTTAAGGCAGACAACAGTAGAAATCATCCTATTTTTAAGCTTTGCACACAGAGAGGAAGGGTATATAGCAGCACAAGACTCAGCAAAATCTCTTTCATCTGTTTCTATTTGGAACAGCAGCTAGGGATGCTCCCTTTCACTTATTTCATGTTGCAGTAGACACATCAGAAGGAACTGCAAGGCAATTTTTAAAAGAAGTTTCCTTTCCCTGTAATTTCCTTACACGGAGACTGACCATGGGAGGGTGACCTAGCACATACCGCATGCATGCTGTAGCTAAGACTTCTAATATCCCTCAATATCACATTCCAGGTTATTTTGAAATCAACCAAGACTTCACTGGCAAAAAGAAAATCATTCAAAGAGGTTAAATCATTCCTTCTCACAGGGCTTTCCTTAGCAGCCTGTCTAGGACAGGCAAATGAGGGAAATAAGATGGCATAATGGATTGGGCTCAGAGTATTAGCAATCTGTTCCCAACTTTGTCACTTGCCTTCTGAATGACTTCACTTTATTTTACAGAGTGAAGAGCAGCGCAAGGAGAAGTGACAGTGCCAAGCCCCTCCATGAAACGCTGCAAGAACCACAACGACAAGCTGTATGCAAGGGAAAAAGATTATTTCCACAGCTATTATTCCCAAACACCACCTTAATTTAGCCTTAGAATTGCCCTTTGCCTCTTAACCTCAAATAAGTTGTATTTTAGTAGTTTCAGACTGATATAAGAACCTATTGTGCAAAGGCCATCCCATGCGACGTTGCTGTGAGGCAGCAAGGCCACTCAGGCTGGCTGCTTTCCATGGCCAAAGCGCAGGTCAGGTCAATGCTGGCACCTCCAGGAATCAAACAAAGCCTTCGCAATCTCCCTCATCCCACAAGCGGAAGACCACATCTAAACTTGTTCCTGGACAAGTGCTATGCTTACTCTCAATTTGTACAGTATAGACAAGGCCCTAAGAGCTAGAGAAGAGAAGCCATTACAAAATGCACGCTGTCAAAAGTGATTTAACTCTTGGATTGGTTCAGTTCCAGCAGTACCTCACAGTTCAGCTCTCATTTCCTTCCCCTGAGATATCTATTGAACAATCACCCATTAAAGTTGCCCAAGGAGGAATTTTGCAGATTTTGAGTCTGGATTTTGGTCTGTGTTTTTTCATCAGTTGTTAGAATAGAATGAGAGGGGAAAAGAAAGAGAGAGGGGAAAAGAAAGAGAGAGGGGAAAAGAAAGAGAGAGGGGAAAAGAAAGAGAGAGGGGAAAAGAAAGAGAGAGGGGAAAAGAAAGAGAGAGGGGAAAAGAGAAAGTTCAGTTGGAAGGGACCTACAACGATCATCTAGTCCAACTGCCTGACCACTTCAGGGCTAAACAAAGTATACTGTTAAGGGCATTGTCTAAATGCCTCTTAAACACGGACAGGCTTGAGGCATCGACCACCTCTCTAGGAAGCCTGTCTCAGTGTTTGACCACCCTCTTGGAAAATAAATGCTTCCTAATGTCCAGTCTAAACTTCCCCTGGTGCAGCTTGGAGCCACTCCCATGTGTCTTATCACAGGATACCAGAGAGAAGAGATCAGCAGGAGGCTGTGACAACCTCCAACCAGTTCCTGAGAAAGTTTCAGTGTTGCAACAAGAAGAGCTTTATGCTGCAACCATGATACAGATCTGTCCCGGCACTTTCAGGGGTAAAAAGCTGGCATAGTTATGTAAATGAGAGATGCAGAGTACTTGCCTTCATCCTGCACATCAAGAGAGACTGTGTCAATGTTCTCCTCCACAGTAACAACTCTTCCAGTGAAGTTCTTTACGGAACACGGTCGTGAAGGAAAACTTAGTTCAAGCCGGCCTTGGTAGTCCTCTGGTCTTACTATCTCTTCCACATACCCACTAACCACCAACTATTCCAGTTCCCATTGGTAATCAAGCTGCTAATTATTTGCCAAGACTGTATTTTTGGCAACTGCCTCATGAAATTGTTCAGTTTAACAGCATTTCTACAGACTGTGTTTTGACAGAGCTGCGAGCTGCCACTAGAGAAGTGGAAATTAAGCTGACGTTATCAATAAAATATGAATATATCTTTTATTCTGCCTAAACCTCTTTAAAATGTGAATACAGTAATTCTGTAAAATGACATGGACTAAAATATAAGTGAGTAAAAGAAATGGTATATCAAAAAGACAAACCTTGAAAACTGGAACCTTCTAAATCCACCTGACACAATTAAAGCAATTTAAAGAGTGGGAACATGAAGCAGATGCTTCCCAAACACTCAGGCAAATCTCTGGTAGCAGAACTTTTTTTTTTTTTTTAATTTTCAAATTATTGAAAAAAGTAATGTATGGTCTATTTAGTGTTTTAACATAGCAATTCTAGAAAACAACACCTCATGTCATTAAGCCTAGGAAAATACCTTGCTTCTTGCTATGAGGTCCACATCTCCCTCTTGTAATGCTAATCCAGTGACCATTAATGCTTTTCTACTGCCAAAGGCAAGCGACAAAGCCACAAGTCTCAGCCCTATTTTGTTGTTGCTGGTTTTCAATGATACTTCACCAGTGACCGTCTAAAAAAACTCACAGGCCTGGAGATGTATTTCAGATCCTGTTTGTATGGATATAACTGAACTGGCATTTATTCGGTACGTCCTATGCAGAAGCAAGCTACAATAACCTGCTAAAGCAAGCAAGTTCCCTCAACATATACCAGAGAGAGCAATGCACCTCCAAGCAGAAGTGCTATGCTTTCGAAATATCCACAAAATGCCCCATAGCCATCACGATATTGCATCCAGAACAACTGCTACATTTATAAGGATGCCTAGAAGTAAATGAGGTCTATTTCGCAAGGTATGAAGAAACAACTGTTTCCACTTACTGGAAGCACAGTCAATCAGTGCCTTACTTATGCATTATAAAGCATGCAAGAGAAAACATTCCAGACATGAAAGTTAAAGTAGCCATTTTGAGTCAGGACTCAAAATGCTTACAATTATGACCACAGTTTCTACTAGCATTTGCAAACCTAACTTTTGGTGATGGTTCTTCAGATTAAAGAAACTTGCACCTGCTATTCAAGAAGGGCAGGACCTGCATAAGTCACTCCAAAAAATATTATTTTTCTGTCCAAAACTTCCAATATCTTTCTCTCCCAAACTTACAAACTATCAACATCACTTTTCCTCAATAGTTCGTACTTCCAAAAAACCCAAATTCCTTAAGTGAGCATTTCTGTGATATAGATACACACCGTGAGACAATTAATTCTCAGATCTAGTCCAGTACTTTCTATTTACAAAAATTTTCAAGCTCACTTAATACTTGCACCCTTTACTTACCCCAGTGAGTTTCAGTCTGGGCTTCAAAAGCAAAAAGAAAACACTAAGTGTAAAACTTGCAAGGCAAAGGAAATTTCATGGAATCACTAACAGAAAAGCCTTTTAAGAAACCAAGAACTACATGCCAATGTTACAACAGCATCCAAACTTGTGAACAGTATCTGCTGTTTTATGCATTCTCTGGCTTCCATGTAGTGGTGTGCAGCGTCAGTAGCAAGCTGCAGAAGGGAACTTGATCTCTGCAACAGTCCTATGTTTGTTTTTACATCAAATAACTTAATCAGAACACACACTGTTGCTAGATTTCTTCCGAAGTAATTAAATAACTATTCAATGCCAATTAATCACAGTTAAATAAGGGTCTGTCACCAAAGTGCTATGTACACATTT